CTGTTAGCTCCCCCCCACCCATATAATTCATACGTAAAAGATCGCCGAATCGCATTGTGTCCGGTGTCGGCACCGATGTTTTTTGGATTCCAACAGATTCACCAAACTATCGGAGGTCCGATGTCCGGTGTGTTGATAATAAGTGTCATTGCAAGCAGGATCACATGAGGCAAGTGAAATTCTACTTCACTTTTTGAATGTCTTCAGAGCAAGTAGGTGAAAGCCTGACACACTCTCAAAATAGGTCCTCAATTATGCTAAACGGTTTAATTTACGACAACAATTCCAACATAGACACAACTTTATGTAATTACCCAGTTGCTGCCTGAGTCGGCATTGATGTTGATCTACTATTCACAGAACAATGCAAAGATAAATCATGGCTGAAATAACCGCCCGAAACCGCAATGGAAGAACTAAGAGGTGAATCAACCGCAGTATTGTCTCCCAGATTTTAGCAAGTTGTGTCTGATGCAGCGCGCATTTTGTCACAGACACGAGGAGGGACAAAATCACTCTCGGTGCACACAGTATATTTCAAACGAGCTACTGAATGATTTAACATTATGGTAAAACGGCTTAGTTTAAATCGCGTCGCCTAACTAGTGACACGACCTCTTTCGCAACGAGACTGGACCTTGACATGGTGTGATGGTTTGTGCACCTCCATGATCCATTGGGATATGCTGGGTGGTACATTCTAACTGCTCTCAGGTCCGTTCATATCAGACAGGTCAATAATTAGGAGTCCGGCTAACTCAGTCCCGTAACCCAATCCTCTTCGGAGGTCGATGGCCCTCTTTCTATAAAACCTAACCATGGGAGACATGTCTACGGGTTATAAGCTCACAGCTCGATTGACGTAGAGCATGAGTATCACGCATTGTCTGTGAAGCTGGGAGGGCGTCTTTCGTTGCTCAATGGTCGGTGACCGCCCATTTCAAGCTATGCAGCTTCTGGCCAAATGGATGCAAACCTCCCAACTCTCATCTGCAGATAGCCGTGGTCGCAGGTGCGTAAGATGCTACACCATTGATCAGACCATTCAGTTGAACTGTACCATTTACTAGTTATCTTAAGAAGAACAAATGTGAATTGTTCTGAATCTTCAAAGCTTCTGTGAAAGTCCCCAAGCAGAGCTCAATGAATCTCAATAATAACACACGCGAGCTGAACTTGCTTCGCCCTGCCTGGTAGATAAGACTATTGAAGCAACAGCTTCGGTTAAAGAGCCTCGAGCAAATTTCCATGTACACTACCTTCTGTTCGTTCTTCGCACACCTCACAACAGTCTTCTGCCCTGCCTATTGAGTAAGACTGCCACCGATACATATAACTTGTGCATCTAATCAAAAGCCCATTTCGCATTAGTTTAACGCTCGTACTCTGTGTCAGATCGACAAAAACGCAGCACTGACTCTCACAAATCGATCCCTTGGTACTGATGTAACATATTTCCGAAAGACGCAAGCAGAATAACAGCATCATGGCGTATCTTCGAACCCTGGTTTCGAATCTGATGACAACGATACACTCTTCGCGCCCTGTCGGTACCGAGTCAACGACTCGAGGTGTTTAAGATGTCAGAATCGCCCTCAGCAAAAATGCTAAAGTCAAGCCACTCGTCTAGATATTAGTGAACAGCTGCATGTGTGAGATCAGACTCCGAAAATCTATTGGGGTTAATAATCACCGTCCGAAAACAAGAAGCATTTTCACCGTTTCCGTTAAGGACCCCAGTGACTGCAGTTCGGACGGTGTGAAAGACGGTTTTTGTCGTTCGCTCTTTTTTCCCCTATATGGCGAGGAATATTAATGTCGGCATTGTTGCTCGTGACAGGAATTGCCAAATAAGTCTCCCTTCGGATTCAGACAACACCTGGGAGGTCAATACAGGGTAAATGCATGCCAAACAGACAATGGTAATTGATTCATGCAACTATGTGTGGATCAAAATCTTTATATTAGCATTACCGTTTTTCAGCATAAACGAGCACACTAAGTCACATGTAGAGCACCTAATTTCTTATGGCATGGACCAAAATTGAACATATTATCATCACCTACGAATGGTGAGTGCACTTCCGTCCAAGACTATCGGTTAACTTAGAAAACACGCGTGGATTTCCACCATGTATGTGTGTAAGCTTGGCCTTCATACTCGTTTCAGTGCCCCATGCTGAGGCTGATGTTGCATTCTTGATGCTTCTTCACCGCAGTTGGGCTAAACCGACTTACTCTTAAACTAGGTCTTTTTAAGCTGGCTAAATTTCATTCCACTTTACTTGGCTTGTTCTGCCTACCTGAATACTCTTCTATTAACTGGCCACGTTGCTTACATTATTTGGGCTTATGATCGGTAACTCTATTGCGTTTGTAGCATTTTTAAGTAACTTGCGGACATTTTTTCCTTATCGCGTATTCGTTGCTAACCAACTTACTTCATATGCTAATTTAGCAAAGTGTTATGCCACCGTATCTGTATGCATTATTGGATTTGTTTTATTTCATCTTGTCGTTCCAGGTGATTGGCTGTTGCTTGATATCCCCGGTGTGGCTGCGCTTGATGTGCATGTTGACAAGGTGCCTACCTGTCTATTACCCACTACCTCGTCCATAATGGCTCCAGGAGACAGTTGGTCCTTGCTGGAGGGGACGGGGTGCACGGTCCTTGTGGCCGTGCTAGGCTCAAAGAGTGGTTCCATGCACTCAGTGTGGAGCGGACTACGGTCCAGCCACCGCCTTGTGTGCGCTTGATTCCCCAAATACAGCGTGTTTGTGTTTGCCTGTGAAGGAGTGTGGGCCGGCTCCGTTGATGAAACGTGGTTCCCATCCACATGCCTCCCGGTCTTATTCCTTCGGGTTTACACTGAATATGGGGTGTGTGATGGAGCTGTGGGTAGTGGCAGCGCAAGCCACCCGTGGTCCCTCTGTAGGCGCAGACGTTCTGTGGCTTGCCACAGTGACAAACAAATCCGAAACCGGATGCCGCCAACCATACTCGTTTCAAACAAGCGCCTAACTTCAAAGCCTCTCACTTATAAGCTGAATTTAAAATCTGCAATCCGACAATGTTTTGAAGAACAGGTTCACAAATTGTCAGTAACGGATGAGGCTGATGAGCCCAATGCTGACTGGAATCGTCCCAAATGTGCCATGAAGAATGCTTTTAATACCTGCTGTATGCCTAACTTGAGACGTTTGAACAGTGGATAGATAACTGAGGCATCAATCAGAGCACGGAAACAAGTTCCAATGGGTGATGAGCTGCAGCTTATCCGTAACGTTCCAAAACAATGACTAAGAACAAATCATAGGATTGACCACGAACGCTAGTGTGTGCCAATGGCCTGGAGATTGACAAAGCCAGTGCTAGTGGGAACAGTCGAGTGATTGCCCAGCCCACCAAGAATACGCGTGAAAAAAAACCGCCTTTAGTAAAACAATAGGCCATTGGGCATAACATTTTGAAGAGCAGTTCAGCAAGCCTGCTGAGACATTGCCGTTTGCAGAACCATCTTAACCCAAGTGGAAAGTTAATATCATACACCACACTTCAGAATATATTCGGCATGAGCTTGATCGTGCTGAAAGGAAACAAGGCTCCTTGACCTGATGACCTATCTCAATCTATCCTGAATTATGATGGTGTAAATTAGTTGATTGGATTTGCTGCGCTAATAAAAATGATTTAGGACACTGAAGAGGTGTCTTCAAACTGACAACTGTCGTGCACATCTTCAAAAACGTCAACGGACATCGTGTAAAAATCATCCAAACATAGCCCTTATTTGCACTGTCTCAAAACATATTACCGGTCCTTGGGAGTCGAGATGGCTGGATTGCGCCATGGTCGCGATGGCACCGACCGCATAGTTAATCTTCGTCAAATGTTGAAATATAGACATAGATGGTCAAATATTGTAGTCTTTCTTGAATTGAAAGCTGTCTTAAACCCCGTTGGTCGTGCCAGCTTGTGGTACTGCCTATTCGTGACAGAATAAGGGGTGAAGGTCTACGGCATGTTATCCCTTGAGTTCCACACGACAAGTGTGATTCACCAGCGTTGTCCTATATCTCCTTTCCTCTTCCACCTTGAGATCGAAAGGAAAGACAAATGACAATTGGTCCAGACTATTCCGGACGCAGTAGCTATGCAAGCACCACTATACAAACTTGCGTGTAGCGCAATACGCTTCCGCATACGCTTTCCACATTCAAAGTCATAAGTATTGTTGCATGAATGGAGGCATACACCTCCGGTTCTAGCTATCAGCGAACAGCCACTGGAAGTGGTGGATCAGTTCACTTACTTTGGCAGCTGTGCCACCTACTTTTGGTGGTCATATCAATGAGGAGGTCACTTCCCATATCAGCAAAGCATGTGGCTTTCCAGAGACTCAAGCGCCTATGCAAATGGCTTAAGGTCAGCCTGCAGTGAAAGGTAGGGTGTATAGCGTCGAGCTAAGGTCGGTCAAACTGTATGGATCAGAGACTTGGCCAGTTTGTGGCGAAGACATAAATGTTTGACCATGTTTAGCCACAGGTGTTTGCGCAGTCTTGCTCACGTTTGGTGTGAACACGGCGTGATCAATGCTTATAGGTCCGCCAGTTAGTTTTTGTCAAAAAGTCTGGTGCCCCACTCGAGTGTTTAATGTATCTTAATCGCTTACGTTGGTTAGGCTATGTCCTCCATATGCCCATCGACCGACTTCCTCTGCGTGCATTATATGTTGTGCCCACTTGCGCCTTTGTGTGCACATCCGAAATGACTCCTAACGCAACAGATCAGAATTTGCTCACAGACTGACTATCGCGTATTGCTATATTTTGTGTAACCATCGTTCTAATGATGAGGTCGAAAACTAATGTGGTACTTGCGGCCAGTGTGAACGTCCTAGATAAGACAATATTATGTTAAACGAGACTAAATTAAAAACTGCGTATTATTGATGGTGGTACTCAAAGCATAAACTAGGCAAGTGCTAGTAAAAACTAACCTGATAAGGATAAGGCAAAAAATGATTTGCCGGGACATTTTCCATGAGTTTCCGGGCGATGCGGTGTTTTCCATCGCGTCTGTAGATCATCGGCGGCGTTCAAAGACCTGGTCAACCGGTGAGTCAGAGAATAGGGGACGGTAGCTAAAATAGACAGATAAGTATATAAGAACCAGCGCGCAAGCATTTGCTAAAGAAAAACCAATGTAACAGACCAGTCGTGCAGCAAATCGAGTGTCAGCTGTAATGTGTCTGAATCCGTAAGACTAGATAATTCTGACTATAGTTTGAGACAATTAGCGTAGGTCAGTCACTTTGAAGCACTACTGGAAGGTCGTTGATGGAGGTTTTGAAATGTTTAGGATCAAAGAGGGAGACTTGCGGAATACCACTGGTCGCAAGAATAGGCGCAGAAAGAAGCTTATTGACCTACACCCTCATGGTACGACGATCCAGAAAAGCATTGATCCAGAAGAAAATATTGCCAGCGATGCCAGTCTTCCGGAGCTTGATAAAGAGCCGTTCATGTGGAAACCTATCAGATGCTTTGCTGAAATAAACAAAAACATCTAGGTGATTACCGAAATCCACTGACTGCTCACTTCTCGCGGGCAACAATTAGGTTGGTGATACAAGAATGTCGCCTCCGGAAACCGTACCGAGCAGGAGTGATGATGTAGAGAGCCTCAAGGTGAAGATGAAGGGCTTTTTTAAGAATACTTTCTATTGTCTTGCAAATGATCGACGTCAGGCAGATCGGTCGGTTATTCCCAGAATCCTCTCAGTTTCTTTCTTAGTGGATTGGCTTCACAATACCTACATTCCAATGAAGCGAAAGGCGGCCAGCCTCTACGGAGTGCCGAAACAATTGGCAGAGGCTCGGTGGCATACTCGGCCACTGTCTTCAGGAACAAGTGGTGTAATTCATCAGGGCCTGGCGAAGAGTTCGGATCCAAATCGAGAATTCTCAGCACCAGATTCGTAGTAATTCCTATGTGCACCAAGGGAGTGGGATGCGTGGGTATATGGTCATTGAATACCAAGGCCTCAGCCGAGTACACTGATGAATATTGTGAAGAAAGAAGACAGCCTTTCGCTTCATCGTCATGAAGTAAAGCTTCATCCTTACGCGAATGCATGGCAGGTAAGCCAGAACTCGCCTTAGTACTTCTTTTCAGATACGATAAGATATTTTTATGCTCACCGCAAGATTGCTCAGCTCATACTGTTCTCGCTCCTCGCACTTTTCAGTGTACACAAATTTATGAGTACTTTGTAATTATAATAGTCAGACGCCGATCGTGAGAACTGGAATCTGTCCCACAGTGTTCGTCTTCTATACAGTAGGGTTATCAGTTCTCTAACAATCCAAGAAGGGCCTTTAGAAAAGCGTCTGTCGGAAACGCTTGGTGCAGCTTCGTCGATAAGAGATAGAGCAATATTGAGCGGAGGTTCCAAGCGGTATCGAGATCCAACTGCTGGGGAGTACTCTAGTTCATAACACTTGCAGCCATTTGTAGGCGGAGTGGATCGGCGCGCCAGTACTTTCGGTGAGGTATGCCCCGGTGATGAAGAGTAGATCGTCTTGTCCATAGAAAGGAAAGCACACAATGATCACTTAACCCAAGTGGTTGGAGAATCTATAAATCATATACATCGGATGGTTGGGGCGTGAACACGAGGTCAAGGACGTGAGGCGATAGACCTGGAATTATCCAAGTAGGTGACGAGACATGTTGAGTTAGACCCGACTGGCTTAGCGAACAACCTCCTCGTGGTGTCAGCTGAGTGGTTCGGGTTTTTTCCGTTCCAGCAAATGGTTCGGCGGCAGTGTTCCAGAACGTGGTGGGTTTTCGTCTGGAAAGCGTTCTGCCTAGAAAAAGCTATAAAGATCTGTTTAGCAACATTGCGACGTGGCGGATGTGACGTCAGTAAATAAAGTTACTGCCCTTTGTCCCTCCCTGACAGGCATGGTATTTCAAGGGTACGTTGGATCCCTGGTCCTTCACGGACCGAAAGACGTGTGAACTATCCAGTTGGTCACCGGCTCCCAACGGGTTGCAACGTCCTCACATCGTCGTTGTCTTGTAGGCTAGACTTTTGAGCAAAGGCTCAGGGAGGGCCCCCTAAGACAACCCTCTACTTCGGCTTGGGCAACCGGGTAGTATCACGCCCAATGACGAATCATGGACCACACTGCTTAATACTGCTTTTGCTATGTCTATCATCACTGCTAACTCAACTCCTCAATCTCCACACACAGATCACCCTACCTCCCGTCTTGCACCTATTTGTACTCTTACGACTTCTTCAGTCACCGTCACAAAAGACTCACTTTTCGTAACTGATGGGAGTAAGAGCCAAACTCCCGGTTTGCAATGTCCTGCGATCGCAACCGTCTCCCACCACCGAAGCTCCAGCTCTTCTTCGACCTTGTTCTCCATTCATCCTCGCAGCGTTTAATGTTCGAACTTTGATGCAGATCGAACGGCAAGCATGTCTGGCCGTACTCTTGAAACGCTCTTGGTAGACATCAGTTGTCTTTCAGTGACCAGATTACAAGACTTTAGCGCCGTCATCAGAATGACCTCTTCGGTAAACCATGACACCAAATACCACTTGTGACTTTCCGGAGACCCAGAAGCTGCTGCCTCTGGCTAAGCTGGTGTTGGGGTTGCACTGAGTGGCAAGGGTGAATTATCTCTAGTTGAATGGATCAAAGTTAACAGTCGGTTATGCGCTGTCCGATTAAGAGATTCATGTAATGCAAGCAGGCTTTGTTGTGTCCGCCTACGCCCCTACAGACTGCAACTGGGATGCAATCAAGGATAGCTTGTACCAGTAGCTAGATGAACTTATGCGTTCCTCCAAAGGGACTGAAATAGTCATCCTTGCTGGAAACTTTAACGTACGGATGGATCCCCTTTCACCAAGCCAGCACCACAATGGGGTAGTTTTGGCCTCGGTGACAGTCGATCAGACAATGGACAGACTGCTAGTTGGCAGGAGCCACTGGCAGTCATGGGTTCGATCCTCCGCAGAGGACCGAAGGATGCGCACCACTGATGAGCTCCAATAGGGCGAAACGGCCGTATGGTGCTTTTCCGGAGAGCTGGTCGACATATCTGAATTGTCGGCTGATTGCGACGAACAAAAATACTCACCAAAATCCTTCCATTCATAAGTAAGACTGCTTGCTCTTGGCTCTGATCACCACTTGTTCCTTTCGAGAACTAGTTTTCGGCACTGGAGACACATTGCTACCTGACGCCCGCCCTCACAAACACAAGAGTGCTCCCAGCTTGACCATAAAGCAATCAGCTATAGATGGCGCGGAAGCGTAAAAGTGCCGATCGTACTGGTCAACCTATCTAGACTTCGATCACGCATGAAACGTTATAAAACCCCCGGCCCTGATGGTCTTCATCCAGCTCTATGTAAAGATGGTGGCGCTTCGCTGGCCCGAGAACTCACTGCTTTGTTCTCGAAAGTTTGGTCGAAAAGAAAGTTCCATTATCTTGGGGTGAATCGAGTGTCGTTCCCATCTTCAAAAAGGGTAGGCGCACAATGTGCTCCAAGTACAGAGGCATAAGCTTAGTCCCCGTGGTTTGCAAGCTGCTGCTGTCCATCGTACTTCGCAGGCTATCCCTAACGCGTAAACCATTGCAGCGAGAAGAAAAAACGGCGTTTCGCCCTGGTCGCGGCTGCATCGATCAAATCTTCACACTTCGCCAGATTCGCGAGCACCGCCATGTGTATCAGAGGCCCACGATTGCTACGTTCTTGGATATCCGTGCAGCCTTCAATTCTGTCGATCGGACGGTACTGTGGCACTGCCTGTTGAGTAATAGCGTCTCCAAGTTCGTCTCCATACTGCGCGCTCTCTATGGTCTGACCTAAGGTAGAGTTAGGGATCATGGTAAGCTTTCGCCTTCCTTTGTGGTCTCCAGTGGAGTTCGACAAGGATGCCCTATCTCTCCGTTCCTATGCAACTTTGCCATTGAGGATGTCCTAAAGAACGCTCTGGGCGATTCCTTGAACGTTGGCGTTGAGCTCCACCAAGGTAGTCGAGTTGTTGATTTGGATTACGCTTATGACATTGTCTTGCTGAGTGACGATAAACACGCTGTTCGACTTGCACTAAACCGCTTGGCGATTGAAGCACCGAAGTATGGTATGTACTTTTCGCCATCCAAATGCAAGGCCCTCTTTCAAGACTGGCAGGTGCCTGTGCCTGCACTCATGCTTGATGGTGAGAAACTGGAGGTTGTGAAGAGCTGTCTACTTGGGAAGTTGCATCGCTGCTGGCGGGGCCGTTAGAGACGAGATTTCGATGCGCATCTCAAGAGCACGCCTCGTCTTCTCTAGGATGAGGCACTTGTGACATCGCCACAACATTCGTCACTAAAGCAAAGGGCGGATCTCTTGTGCCACTGTTCGTGCTGTACTGCTGTACAGATGCGAGACCTGGCACATTCGTAAAGGGGACTTGCGCAGACTATCGGTCTCCGAGCACCGCTGACTGCGGTCCGTTGCCCGTGTGCGGTGGTGGCAATGTGGAAGTTGGACAGCGTGCTTGGGACGAGGAAGCCACTCGCTTGAGGAGCCCGTCTCACTGCATCATCCGCGGTGGCTGGGACACGTATTACGCATGCCTGTTCAGCGTTACCCGCGTCGGGCGTTGATTGCGATTGCTGGACGGCTGAAAGAGACGGTCTGGTGAACAGCCTGTAACTTATGGAAGCCGCATGAAAAAGGTGACGAAACAGTTGGTTTCCGCCGGTTGTTGTCGACTACCTGTTTGGGGTCCGAGAGATGAAGATAATTACCGGTTAAAGACTATGGAAGCCATAGCTCAAGATCAATGTCAGTGGCGGACGTGTGCAGAGGTGTGTTGCAGTATACCTCCTTCTTCCCTCTAAAAAAACTTACATAATTCAAAAACTATGAGCGGCAAAGTGGACAAAAATGCTGTTGTTGTAGCTATTTCTTATTATTCAAACTGTCCTAATAAGCCAAGATTCCAATGGCACAATATCTGTACCACAGATTGTGTATTATATATACACGGTGTTGTATTAATCACGACC